AAGATATTCAATGTACTAGGGTTTGGGGACCACTCTAACTTTTTAGAAAAATGAGAGTCTTAAACTCTATAATTATTCCCTAGCAAAAAATATTCACTTAGCTCTCCAGAGAGAAAAAATAAAACAAGTACTCTATTTTAACTTATCTGCACAAATAATCCTCAACAAGTACTGAGGTATGAAAGGCTGCAACAGGGATAAACTTCCTCCAGAGTAGGTTGACTCTACAACACACAACAGCAACAGCGTTCACTTATGAACTACAAAAATGAGAGAAATCTGTAGGCGGAAATGGATGACCTCAAGCTGTCTACATGCAGCATAGACCCAGTATCTCCTCTGCTGTTGAGTTACTGAATTTAGATGACAAATTCCTGAGAGAAGAAAAGGGCATTGTGACCATCTCACTTACCTGAACATCTTGGCTCAGAGCTGTGTACGAGGCTAAGCGCACAAGCGCTTTAGTGAAGGTGGTGGGGTTGGTGCTGACAATGTGATGCTCATTCAGGATGGCCCCAGCTATCCAGAATGCTCTAGTAAGTTGTTTTGTGCTTGAGTCACTGGGACTTCATTGCTACTCTACTTTCTCATCCATGTCTATGAGGTATGGTTCTCAAATTTTAGTATGTACCAGGAGGGATTATTAAAACACATATTGCTGGCCTCTATTTCCATGGTTCCTCATTCAGTCATTCTGGAGAGGGGCCCAAGCACTGGCATTTCTAACAAGTTCTCCAGCCGATGACGAATGTGCCCTGAGCAGACACATTCATGGGACCTGCTCTTTCTCAAATCTCCTCAGATTCCTAAGCTGAAATAGAGCAAAGGCACTGCGTAAAGGAAGTTCACTATTACAGAAGTAAACTATCTGTTTGAGAGGCTAAACATTCCTAGAGCAATCATGCATCCTAACTTTTTTCAGGACTATCATTATTTCAAATATTATGCTTGGGAGTATTGTGGTGGAGAACACTCTTCGGTAAAATTCAAACCTGAGGTTCTGAAGGAATCATGCTGCCTCCCCACTCAAAAGCTAATGCTCAGAACCTGGGGAGGGGTTCACTCAGATGTGTGAAGATTTGGCATTGCGTTCTCTAATGATAAGATGCTCTGGCAGCACAGTGGTTAAAGTGCTCAGCTGTTAACTTGAAAATTTGAATCCACCAGCCACTCTGCAGGAGAAAGATGTGGTAATATACTTCCATAAGGTTGGAAACCCTTGGAGGTAGTTCTACTCTGTCCTATAGGGTCTCTATGAGTTGGAACTGACTCCCTAGCAATGGGTTTCTTATTCTTTAATGATGGTTTGCCCTTTCATGAGGACAATTGCAGGGAAATATTTTCTTGAGAAAAGTGATTTGCCCGGATGACTGATTACAGAAGCCGTGGATGGTAACACAACTGACACCAACCTTATCTATCTGAGCCGCACAGTCCCCACGGGCCCCCAAGCGGACCAGGGCCAGTGCCGTGAAGAGGCTCAGTGAGGAGAAGAACACGTTTCCATTCCCTTGGTTGTTGTCCATCTCTCTGAAGAGGCTGAAGCAAAAGTCTGCATTTGCTGCAGCAAGGGAGGCCATTGTGACGTGGAGGGCAGCCTGGGGGACAATGGCAAGACAGTTAGTACCTGACGCACTTTCTATGGATATTACGGTTTCATACTCATTCACTTTTAAATTTCAAGCTTCATTTCTTCAGCCTTAGATTTAATCACAGTATAACTTGGAACAAAAAGACATTATGGAAAAAGTTTCTTTGGTCCAATCCTTGTTACCAACAACCTAAACTATCTTTGCTGGCAATGATATTATGACACACTCATTTCTTTTTCACATTGGTCTTCTTTCGTGCAATGTCCCCACTTGCACTCTCAGATGCATGCTGTTGTTGTTATGTGCCGTGCAGTCAGACTTGACTCATAGCGACCCCTCCTTGGGTTTCCGAGGCAGTATCGCTACGGCAGTAGATTGCCATATTCCTCTTCTCGTCAATGTGGCATTTCTACCCTCAGTGACCTTTGAGGGTACTCTTGTCAGGTCCCAAGCAGACACATTCATGAGATCTGCTATTTTTCAAATCACCACAGATTTCTAAGCTGAAGTAGAGCACAGGCACTGTTTAAAGTAAATTAACTATTA